ATATATATATATGCATATGTCTATAGCAATATTATAAAAAAGCAAGACGTTTTCAATGTAATTTTCTTCTGTTTTACCAATAGTTTCTTTACAAATTGACACAAAAAGAATTCAGTGTTGAAAAAATAAACATTTTTTCAAAATGTGATGAACATTTTTTTGGTCGAAGTTGTTTAGCTGTCTGCAAATTCCTCTCCGATTCTTCAACCTGAGAACTTGTCTAAGGCAACACAATGTGATGGATCCTGGTGAATGAAAGGAGCAAGTTGATCCACGGCCAGGTGGAGCCAGGGGGTGACCAATGGTGGCCTTGGCCACCATAAATTAATCTTCAGTCCCCCCAAGGGGCCCCCAAAATTTTGAGGAAACTATACATTTAGCAAAATAAAAATTAGAAATCATAGTTTCCTCAAAATGATTAGGGTGATATATTTACATGCATATGATGGCAGCCATCTTGAGTATTGATGTGGCAACACAATTTTTGAAGGTGACCTTTATTACTCCAAGATGCAGCCATCTGCCAAAATAAAAGTTCATACCTTTCTTATTTAATAATAACTCTAATAATAAATTAATACTAGGATAATAACTAATAACTGGCATAATTTTCAAGCTGTTGTTTAATACACTAATATATTACATTATTATTATTGTTTTGCATATATCTGAGATCCTTATATACTTTATACTTTATATTATTGCTACTTTGGATGTAACTGGGACCTTGGGTACACGGTTGCATTCCACCTCATGTACCACATGGGAATGACAATAAAGAACCTTGAAGTTTAACTCAAGTTATTCTGCTCTAAACATGCATGGATGAAAGAACAGACAGACGGATGGATGAAAGACATTTCCAATTCCCCCTCTTTGCTCCAGGACAGGGGACGATAATTCTGTATAGTTACAGACAGGTGGAAAATCAGACATCAAACCTAAATCAGCTCCTTTTCAAAAGCTTTAAACTCAACCAGCTGCATGAGTCCCAGCTTTACTTTATTTCAAATGAGTGTTTTACTGACCATCAACGAGACGATGAGTCAAACACTAAACTCATTACAGGTAACATCACTGCATAATGATCAATGAAGAAAACTGAATAATGATCAGTTAACATTTCCTCATGATAAACTCCTGAT